TGGCGGGGAGGCCGGTGCGGGGCCCGTAGCCCCCCCGGGGCCGGGCCGGGCCGGGGGCGGGGCCGGGCGGGGCCAGCGGCGCATTAGCGCCTTGTCAATTCGGCTGCTCAGACTTGCTCCGGCCTCGGCGTCCGCGCCCAGCGACGTGCGGGCTGCCCGACCCGCGCCCTCCCGCGCCCGGTCCACTCCTCGCGCCCCGCGCCGCCGCCGCCGCAGCCACCGCCCGCCGCTCTCCCCAGGCAGCGCCGGCCCCATGCCCGCCGGCCGCCCGGGCCCCGCCGCCCAATCCGCGCGGCGGCCGCCGCCGCTGCTGCCCCTGCTGCTGCTCTGCGTCCTCGGGGCGCCGCGAGCTGGATCAGGAGCCCGTGAGTACCGGCGTCCTGCTCCCCACCTCGCGCCGGAGCCGAGAGCGGGCGCCCAGGGGGCAGCCGCGGGGGGAGGGGGCGCGGGCGCCACCTGGACGGCCCCGGGAACAAAGGAAGGCGCCCCCGGCGCCGCCCTCGGGGCGCCCTCACCTGCGGGACGCACCGCTCCGCAGTCCTCCGGCCCGAGGGTCCGGCCTCTGGTCCCGAGGCCTTCTTACCTGGGCCGCTAGGCCAAGGGCGTTTAGCCAGGCCCCCAGGGGCCGAGGAACCGCGGCCCTGGACCCTCTGCACACTGGAACGCAGCGAGCGCACGCGTTTGCGTCCGCGGTCGCGGAGCCACTGGATCGCGGGGCACCGCTCCCCGGCGGGGGCGCACGCGGTTGGCGCACTGGGTGGGGGCCGGGAGTGGGCCCCTTCGGGCGGAGGGATGAGCCCCGCGGGGAGGGAGGGGCGGGAGGGGGCCCGCTCTGACCGCCTGGCGCGCGGCCCGGGGTCCCCAGGGACGTGCCTCTCTGCGGGCCGGCGCCGCCGCCCTCCCCCTACGGGACCCCGCACACTGGAGTCCTCGAAGTCTCTGTCACCGGCGGCTCTCAGAACTCTTCTCACTCGGGCTGCTCTGGGCTGAGAGCCTCCAGCGAGAGAAATCTTTGTGAGCGTGTGGGTGAGAGCTAGAGGGAGCGGGAGCCAGTGAGTCCGGGCACCGCCGGCCCATATTTTCGGGGGGGTCCACTGGGAACCCGCAATCCGAGAAACCCTCTTTCTATAGAGAGCTCCTGGCCTCAGGCATTCTCCGGCCCCCCTCACCCAATGCACACCCCCGCCAGGATACCGACTCCACATCCAGACCCGCTCTGGGACACACCCAGAGACACACAAAGACTCACACTGGCTTGTGTCCCGTCACCCTCGCCCTCAGACGCGCGCACACTGCATCCCAGATGCACATTCGCACACCATCGTGGCGCGCACACACATTCCATCCCTGACACACACACATTCGTGGTCATACATTCATTCCACAGGGGAGGCAACAGGGGCACACTCGGAAAGTCTTCCCCAGACGTTCACAATCATCCATGAGCCCCATCCAGGGGTACAGGCCAAGGACTGGACACATACTGCTCCCAGTCTCCCATACTCTTTCCCGTGGTGTTCCTCCAAAAAGGGTAGGGTCCGGGCACCCCCTGGGGACACTCGCTGAAAGCTTAGCCTGCTCAAGGCACCTGAGCAGGTGGGGGGCTACCCAGGGCCCTCTTGGGGTCTTAATGACTCTGCCAGGCCAAGGATAGAGCCTGTGAGTGCCACCAATAGCTTCAAGCTTTGTTTCCCAGCCCCTAGAGCAACAGGCGAAGGTGGGGGGTGGGAGTGTTGTGTGTGTGTTTTTTCCTTTAAGGGGGAAGAAATTAAATAAAAGATTCTCACACCTCGGCAATATGTTTCTACTTACGGTGTGTCTTAGCACCTGATCAGCAGGCGGGTGGGTCATAAAGTGTCTGCAGGTACCAGCGGGACTGGAGATGGGGACCCCCGTGGGGACCCTGGGACAGAGGCCACCCTCCCGCTAGGCTTTCAGAGAATCTCACACTTTTCCCTTTTAAAACACATGGTGTTCCTTTTTAATAACGGCAGTGGCTCCAGATTGGGAAGGGGGAAGAGAAAAAACTTGTAAAGGCCCCAGCTCGGCAGGAAAGTAGGGGAGGGGGGCTGTCCAAACGCCCAAGCTAGGTATCTGCTTTAGGGGGTTCCTCTAGGAGGTCCCCCAAACCAGGCCAAGCCCCTCTGCCAGGCTCAGTGGGCTGATCCCAGCGGCTCCTCTGCCTGGCCTGGAGTGTGCACGTCCCAGTCCCACATCGCCTTGGCCCATTGTTTGCTGAGGCCTGGAGAGAGTGCCAATCCCGCCTGGACCCCGGAGCTGGAAGGGGCTGTAACCCTGTGGTCCTGCCGTGCTAAGGGCGCCAGGTCCTCTTGACACCGTGAGTGTGCACCAGCAGGTAGAATGCTTTCCTCCCCATTATATGGAGGAGAAGACTGCGAACCGGGAGCGGGAAGCCAGGTGCGCAGGTACTCAGGGGCTGGGAGGGGAAGCATCCCCTGACCTTTCCTGCAGGGGTGGAGGGGGTGGGGAGCTGGCGCGTCCGTCCGGCCAGCCTAGCCTTGTTCCCCCCTCCATCCCTCCCTCAGCCCTGGGAGGGCAGCTGCAGCTGCTGGCAAAGGGGCCACGCCAGGCCAGGCCAGGCGGGTGTGGCAGAGGGGCAGTGCCCCCCAGCCAAGACCCCCCAGAGAGCCCCTTTCTGGCCAGACCAGGACTGCGGGTGGGGGAGCAGGAGGGCGGACCCACCGGGGAGGGCTAAGAGTGGGCCTGGGGTCCGGGCAGGCCCGGCCGCGCCTCCCACCCTGCTGGGGGGGCCCAGGCAGGAAGCGGTGGGTGGGCCGGGGCAGAGACGCTGGCACGCCCGAGTTCATGCCGAAGGAATTCCGAATTAGCGGGCGGCTGGCTGCCTGGGACCTCCGGGGCGGCCCCCTGGCCCCCCGCCCCCTGGCCGCCCCCGCCTCCCCGGCTCTGGCCTGCTCTGCCGGCTCCTTCGCACGGACGCCGAGACCTCCGGCGAGCCCTGGGCCAAGCCCCAAACGCAACTGCGATCCCAGGCTCCAGCAAGACCGGGCCCTCGAGCCAAGTTTGCCCCGGAAAATTGTCAGGGCCAGGCCAGAGAACCGTGTTCGTCCCACCTCGCCCATCTGGGGCGGTGAGGGTGAGGGAGAGGGCCGGCAGATACTGGCATTCAAGGGGCCTCCCTAGGGGCCTGGATCACCCTGTCCTTGGCGGCCATCTCTGAGAAGCTGGACTGCCCCTGTGCCCCTTCAAGCCCTCCTCACAGCCCCCTGGGGAGTCCTTTTAAAATATAAATGGATCAGCACCGCTCCCTGCTTCCAATCCTGGAATAACTTCCTTCCTTCCCTCAGGTCGGTATCCCTGCTCACCTGCCAAACCTCATTTCCCACACCCCTGCCCCAGGGCCTTTGCACTCACCTGTAGGGCACTGTCTCCTAGAGGGTTTCACATCTACCTCCCTTTCTTTATTCTGGTCTCAGCTCAAATGTCTCCTCCCCAGACCGGACTCCTGGCCTATCCAAACTGCCCTCACTGACTTGACTCCCTGTGGGCCCTGCTTAACTTGTCCCTTTTTCTTTCTCTTAGATATTTCTTGGTCCTCCTCCTTTTCCTCTTCCTCCTCATCCTCCTGTTCTTTCTTCCCCCCCTGCTGCTTTCTTGAATGTAAGGCCCACAAGGGCAGGAATTTTGTATCTTAGTCCCCAGGGTGTCTCCAGCTCCTAGACCACTGGAGGTTCTCTGTAAATGGATGACGGATGAATCAGTGAGTTGGACGCCCGGGCCCTCATAGTTGCTAAGAAGCCCTTTCTCAGAGGCTCAGAGAAGTAAAGCCACCAAGTCAGAGGTTCTCAGGAGCTAGGAGCATTCAAGCCCCACTCAGCCTGGCACAGGGATGTCCCCTCAGACAGTATTCTCGCTCTCTCAAACAACACCCTGGGGTTGATACCAGGACGAACTTCCACAAGGAGAAACTGAGACTCAGAGAGGCGTCAGGGGCTTGGCCTGCCCATCCCCTCTCCCTTCTCTGAGCCTTGGTTTCCCATTGGCTAATAGGTTCCTTTTAGGTTCTGATCACCAGAAAGGGAAACTGCTAGCTGCCCTAGTGTGATAGGAAAAGAGGCACCCCTGCCCAGCCCCCAACTCTCACAACCCAGCTGAGGGCCTCCCTTCCCACCTGACCTTCACAATGACCCAGACCTTTCTCCCTTCTCCTTTGCAGATTAGGGAAACTGAGGCGAGGGAAAGAGCAACAGTGTAAAGTCCCTTTGGATGGGAGTCGGGGCCTAGAGCTTGCCACTGCCACCTTCATCTCCAGTGACTGCAGAGCAGGACTTTGGAGACCGACAAGTCTGGGTTTAACTAGTATATCCCTCCATCAGTTGATGAACTAGGGCAAAAGAACTTTCAGAGCCTCTGCTTAAGATGAGCAGGATTTGATGAGAAAATGCAGGGAAAGTCCTGGCCCGGTGTGCATGCCTGCACGCATGTGTTATGTAGAAGTGGAGGACACTTTGCTACTGAGCTACCGCCTCCTAGTCCTTTTTGTTTTATGTATTTATTTGTTTTAGTTGCAGATGGACACAATACCTATATTTTATTTATTTATTTTTATGTGGTGCTGAGGATCCAACCCAGTGCCTCACACGTGCCAGGCAAGGGCTCTACCACTGAGCTACAGCCCCAGCCCCTCCTTTTTATTTTATATTTTGAGATAGGGTTTTGCTAAGTTGCTGAGGCTGGCCTCAAACTTGTGATCCTCCTGCCTTGGTCTCCCAAGTCAGCTGGGATTACAGACCCACCCAGTATTTAAAAGTCAACAGTGCTCAATAAATGGTGCCCTTAATGGTTCATCTAGTAGGAACAGGGCTCTCTTTTTAAAAGTGCCTTCCCTCCACAGAAATACCTACTATGTGTGAGGCTCTGGGAGGTCAAAGAAAGAACTCACAAATTTTGTTTCTAGTTGCAAAAGAGAGAGAGGGAGGGAGGGAGGGAAAGAAGAAGAGCAGAAGGAGAAGAAGAAAATAGGAAAAAGAAAGTTTATCAGACTATGTGCAAAGCAAGAATCACTTGGATCTGTGGGGCTTTTATGTCTGACTTGCTTTTTTGGTACTGAGGATTGAACTCAGAGGCGCTTTACCATTAAATCACATCCCTAACCCATTTTATTTTTTATTTTGAATAAGCATGTCACTAAGTTACTTAGGGCCTCACTGATTTGCTGAGACTGGCCTCAAACTTTCGATCCTCCTGCCTCAGCCTCCAGAATTGCTGGCATTACAGGCATGCGCCACTGTGCCCAGCTCTGACTTTTTTTCACTGCTCAGAGAGTCTTGAGCAAGTCAGTGATGATGTGACTTGCAAGGACCTGAGTTGTGGAGTCAGACAGATGGGGGTTAATCTTGGCTTTCCCACCAACCTTGGACTGGGCACTTGACCTAATCACTCCTCAGTTTCCTTATCTGTAAAATGTGTGAGTGTGGGTATGGGGGTGAACAACGTCTCAGGACTCCCACGGGCCCTGGAAGTCCTGGCCTGGTGGAGGATTCGTGTTGGCTTTTCCCCACGGCTGACAAACACTCCTCTTTGATCCCAGACACCGCAGTGATCAGCCCTCAGGACCCCACGCTCCTCATCGGCTCCTCCCTGCAAGCCACGTGCTCGCTGCACGGGGACCCTCCTGGGACCACGGTCGAGGGTCTCTACTGGACCCTCAACGGGCGTCGCCTGCCCCCTGAGCTCTCCCGGGTGCTTAATGCCTCCACCCTGGCCCTTGTTCTGGCCAACCTCAACGGGTCCAGACAGCAGTCTGGGGACAACCTTGTGTGCCACGCCCACGACGGCAGCATCCTAGCTGGCTCCTGCCTCTATGTTGGCTGTAAGTGGGTCCCCAGGACACCCAGGGGCAGATCTAGGAGCACCATCACCCTCTGGAGAAGGGGAGCACGAATCCTGGGTCCTCTGGCTTGGGCTGGGAAGTGGGTGGGTTCAGAAGCGCATGTCTCAGGTGGGAGGAGAACTTGGAGCCCCACCCCTCATTCTCCAGGTCCCATGGGGCTGGGGGTGCAGCAGTGGTAGAGAATATGCAAGGCGAATGCAAGGTCCTGGGTTCCATCTCTAGAATGAGAGAGGAGGGAGGGAGGGAGGGCCCATGCGCGTGGTCATTCACGTCTCTGGCAGCAGGGCTGAGATTGCCTTCCTTGTCCTTTTTCCACTTCAGGGTAGGGGCCCAGCAAGCCATCAGGACCCTGCCACCTGCACAGCTAGCTCAGACCCTCAGCCTTCTGCACCCTTCCTTTTCCCCAGTGCCCCCAGAGAAGCCCTTCAACATCAGCTGCTGGTCCAAGAACATGAAGGACCTCACGTGCCGCTGGACTCCAGGGGCCCACGGGGAAACTTTCCTTCACACCAACTACTCCCTCAAGTACAAGCTGAGGTTGGTGATGGCCCACCGGGGGCCTGTGCCCGACTAGCTGTGTGACTCTGGAATAATGCTTGCCTTCTCTGAGCCCCTATGTCCCTATCTATACCCTGGGGCTCCCCTGGTGAGGTCTGGGGACCAGAAGGGGCCCTCATGTGTCCTGGCTCCCCTCCTGCCCCTGCAGGTGGTACGGGCAGGACAACACGTGTGAGGAGTACCACACAGTGGGCCCTCACTCCTGCCACATCCCCAAGGACCTGGCTCTCTTTACACCCTATGAGATCTGGGTGGAGGCCACCAATCGCCTGGGCTCAGCGCGCTCTGATGTGCTCACGCTGGACATCCTGGACGTGGGTGAGCCCCCAGGCATGCCACAGCTGTGGCCTCTGTCCCCACTCCTGAGGTCCCGCCTGAACCCCCCCCACAGCTGTGGTTCCAATTCTAGATCTCTCCCTGCTGGCTGGGGGCGCAGCGGGGCATCCACTTCTTATTTCAAAGTCTGCTCATTCAGCCAGGATGTCCCTGCTCTGCAGAGAACACCTGGCTTGGTCGCCCCCACCTTCGGCAGCCCAGGTGTGCAGGAGAGGGCCCCCCGGGGAGAGGGGAGGGGGCGCCCAGGTCTGGAGGCGCCCCAGGAAGCCAAGGCCTGGAGCTGGGGGGCGCGGGTGGGAGGCAGGAAGTGGATGATCTGCAGCAAAATTGGGCCTAATCTAATTAGGGTGTTTCTCAGCCCCAAGCAGGCCTGGGCTTTAACCCTTTCTGTCCCTCACCCAGGCCTCAGTGGGAGACACCAGCCTGGCCTACTGCCCACGGGGCCCGCAGAAGTAGTCCTGGGCACCCCCTGGCTGGTGGCCCCACCCCCAAGCCTATGTCCCCTTCCTCACACCCTAAACTCCAGTGAGCAAGTTCTACCTCAGTTTTCCCTGTGCACCCAGCAAGCTTGAAATGGGAAGGAACTGGAGGTGGGTGGAGGAGGGTCCCAGGGGTCTGTCTGGGCACCAGCCCCCTGGATCTGAAAATGATAATATCATTAGCCAGGCAGTGTCTAATTTTTTCCCCTGGGGTGTGCTGGGAATGGAACCTGGGGCTTCCACACCTGCTAGGCAAACTCTAGCACCGAGCTACACCTCCAGCCCCAAAGAGTCTGCTGTTATCTAGCCCTTTGAGGACAGGATTATGTTTTTCCCCCCCATCAGATACTAATGATGATAACAAACTGGGCTTTGTGGTGCATGCCTGTCATCCCAGTTACTTGGGAGGCTGAGGTGGGAGGATTGCAAGTTTGAGGCCAGCCTCAGCAATTTAGCAAGGCCCTAAGCATCTTAGTGAGACCCTGTCTCAAAATAAAAACAAAAAGGCCTGGGGATGGGGCTCAGTGGCTAAGTATTTCTGGGTTCAATTCCCAGTGCCAAAAAAAAAAAAAAAGTGATAACAGTTGACATTAATTGAGCCTTCCTAGGTGCTGAGTGTTTCTGGCATATTATATCATGTAATCCATCCATCCTGGCAGTGGGAGAAAGAGGGGGGCCTGAGGCAGGTGCCACCTAAGCCACGTGTCCTGGACTACACTCCTGGGGGATTGGACCCCCAGACATGCCCAGGCTCTCATGGGACCAACCAAGAAGACCAGACCCTGCTCCTTCCCGCAGTGACCACGGACCCCCCACCCGACGTGCATGTGAGCCGAGTTGGGGGCCTGGAGGACCAGCTGAGTGTGCGCTGGGTCTCACCGCCAGCTCTCAAGGATTTTCTCTTCCAAGCCAAGTACCAGATCCGCTACCGCGTGGAGGACAGCGTGGACTGGAAGGTGCCCGTCCCTTCCCCAGCCCTGCCCCTGGGCCCCAGGCCCTCCCTCTGACCTGACCCTCACTGTCCAGGTGGTAGATGATGTGAGCAATCAGACCTCGTGCCGCCTGGCGGGGCTGAAGCCAGGCACCGTGTACTTCGTGCAAGTGCGCTGCAACCCCTTTGGCATCTATGGCTCCAAGAAGGCGGGGATATGGAGTGAATGGAGCCACCCCACAGCCGCCTCCACTCCCCGCAGCGGTGAGCACCCTCCCAGGGCCGGGTGCTCCTTGGGCTGCTCCCAACCAGCCCGCATCTGGGTCTCTGTTTCCTCATTTTCTCCAAGATAGCAGAGGTCTCCAACTGTCGGCCCTCAGGACCCAAGGTGGCCCCTGAACCTATTTGGTCTGGCATTTGGGGGCGGGGGACTTTGACCCACCTGGAAGTTTGACCCAACAGGAAGTTTTTACGCAAATACCCTAGATTGCCTAAAAAAAGAAATTCTGTAGAAAATGCAACCCGACAGCCCGTATTGCTGAGTGGCCCCCACAGCAGTGGTCACCCCTTCACGGCCCCTCAGCATTTGCCCCATCTTCAGCCCTGAGAGCAAGTGAGTTTGAGATCCCTGCTTGTGAGGCCAATGACCTCGGTGTCCCCTTCTAATCAATAATTGAGGAGGGTGTTGGAGAGATTAGGGTCTGACATCCAGTGTCATTGGGAGTTTCTCTGAGCCTGTATTCTCTCCTTTCGAAATGGATAAAAATCAGTTACTTGGAATGTCTGGCCTCAGCATTCCTATCTGCAAAATGGGGTTGAGAGCCACACCTGCCTCAAGCTGTTGCAAAATTTAGGTGACATAATTCATGACAAGTGCCCACATGGTGGTAGTTGCCACTTTAGTATTTGTTGCCAGTAGGTAAGGAAGCTCCCATCCCCCACACTCCCTCCTGATTTCACCCCGAGGGAGGCCCCCTTTATTCAGGTGAGGGCACTGAGTCCCCAAAAGAGAACATAGGGATCTAGACTCAGTTCCAGGCCCACATTGGTGGGATGGTGGGGAAACTGAGGTCCAGACACATAGAGCGTCCCGACTCAGGGAGGGGCAGAACCACGCTCCAGCTAGTTCCCCAGCCCCCAGCCCGGGGCCCCTCCAGGTTCTGGGATGGGAGGGAGCAAGCACAGCTGGGAGGGGCTGAGCCTTGGCCCCTGCTCGTGCCCAGCACCTGCGATTCTTGCACGGGAGCCAGCAGGCGGCTGAGTCCGCCTGGGAGGCTGGGGAGGCCGGGGGAGGCCAGCAGGGGCGGCCTGGGCCGGGGCCGTGCCAGGGCCTGTCAGCGGGTCCCCGGCTTTATTTATGACGTGAGGCCGATGTCCTTATCCGCCGGCCTGCTTGGGGCTGGCTGCGGCCGGCGGCTGGACCCACAGGAGCGCCTCCCACCTGGCCTTCTGGCCCACTCCCTGCCGCACTAGCTCATGCTCCCAGGCTCATCCTGGGGACTGTCCCCTTGGGATCCTCTTGCATTCTGCCTCCCTCCATCTTTTTGTCGCTGTTGCCCTGTGTCTTTTCTTTTTCTCCTTCTCTCCTTTTTTCCCTCTTTTAATTTTTGCTGTGCCTTGAGAATTCTTTCCTGGGCAGTGTCCCTAGAGTCTGTCCCCATCCTGTGCTTTCTTCCATCGGAGTCCAAATGTCGCCCTCCCTGGATCTCCGCCTCTGTCCCCGTCTCGCACTCTTTCTGCCTCTCCACCCCCCTGTCTCCTCGGCTTCTCGCCCTTTTTTCCCCCGCCGCCTGCTCGGCATCTCCTGGGCCCCCTCTCCTCCCCCACTCCGGCCCTTTACACCTGGCTCTGGCCACAGGAATGGGGTCCCTGGAGGAGACGTGGAGGAGGACTCCCTTCCTTGCCCCCTGCCTCCCCAGGGGTGCAGCTGGGCCAGGGGCGCAGCTGGGCTGCTGTGCAGGGCGGCGGGGAGGACGCGGTCCGGGGAGCCGAGGGTTTCGAGGGGCACGCGGTCCCGCGCGCCGGGCCCTCCCTCTCCGGTCCGCGCACGCCCCCTGCCGGCCGCGCCACGGCCCTGATGCTTCGTTCCCATTAGAGCGCCCGGGCCCCGGCGGCGGCGCGTGCGAGCCGCGGGGTGGCGAGCCGAGCTCGGGGCCGGTGCGGCGCGAGCTCAAGCAGTTCCTGGGTTGGCTCAAGAAGCACGCGTACTGCTCGAACCTTAGCTTCCGCCTCTACGACCAGTGGCGAGCCTGGATGCAGAAGTCGCACAAGACCCGCAACCAGGTAGGAAGGAGGGACCAGCGGACACGGAGGGTGGGCGGGAGGAGGGCGGAGGGTGGAGGCTGGGAGCTGCGAGGACCGGCCAGAGAGGAAGGCGGAAGGAGAGGGAGCGGGCTGGGGGCCAGGTCTGCAGCACCCCCCACGACACTGCTGTCTTCTTTCCAAGCACAGGACGAGGGGATCCTGCCCTCGGGCAGACGGGGCGCGGCGAGAGGTAAGGTGGGCCCTGGTGGGTGGGAGTATTTGGGGTGACTGTGAGCCTTGCCCAGCACACTCAACCTGAGTGGCCCAAATGGAATCCTTCCTCCTCCTCTTACTCATCTGCATTTACTTAGCATTTACTGTGTGCCTGGCGGGTAATGTTGCAGGTGGATCTCATCCTCAGGAATGAACATACTCACCCTAGTTAACACGAATGAGCTTCTACTTCATGCCGGGCCCTGCCAAGGGTTTTACTGGCAGGATAGCCCAGAGGATGATCAGTTTCACTTCTCTGATGGGGAAACAGGAACAGAGAGGTGCAATATCCTGCCCAAGGACACACAGCTAGTGGGAGGGGACAGGACCTGAAGGCTGACCCTGCCCAAGCTGCCTGTCTAACCTGGCTTCCCTTTTGCCTGCAGGTCCTGCCAGATAAACTCTAGGGATGGGGCTACCTTCCTGGCTAAGTGGAGACTCAGAGGCTGAACTCAAACTGGGGCCACCTTTGTACTCTCACCTTAGGGCACCTGAGCACCATCAGCAGGAGCTGGGGCAGGTGCTCTGAGCTCCGACAGCTCTGGCCCCCACGTCAGGCCACCCTTGGGTGCACCTCCGGTGTTATGTTGGGACATGAGCTGGTTGAGCTACCCAGAACCCCTACAGGGCTGGGAGTAAAGAGAAGTCATTACTTTGCCCCCCAGTAACCCTCCAAAAGAATATTTTAAAATAAATGAGCTATTTAGGTGCTCTGATTGTGAAGGTGAGTTTGAAGCCTGGGAGTGGGGGCTGTGGGTTTTGGGGAGATCTGTGAGGCATCCTAATGACCCTATGGTCACTAGAAGCCTCCTCTACTAGAAGCCCCACCTCCCAGAATTTCAGACACTTTCTCTAGGATCCACAATCTCTGGTTCTGAACTCCTCAAGGGTGTGATTCAAAACACCAGTTTCAAGTGGGGTGTGGGGACTAGAGTCCCAGTTACTCAGAAGGCTGAGGCAGGAGGATTGCTTAAACTGACCAGCTCAAGACCAGCAAGACCACATCTCAAAAAACAAAACACCAGTTCTGGGGCAGGGTGAGAGTTTTCCCCCAGCCCTCTCTGGCCTGGGGAACCCCTTCCCCAGACAGGGACCCCAGTACTGCAGGACACAGAGATGGCAGAGGAAGGACTCTTTATTGTGAGGTACACTGAACTGGAGCAGGGTCCGCAGCTCCAGAGGGGCATGACCTCAGCCAGGTGGTCAGGGTTGGGTTGGACGCCATTGGTCTCCTTTCCCATCTCCTCTGAACATCTCTGGAGAGCCACCGTCACTCGGCAGATTCCGCATCAAACCTGAGGTCCTGGAGAACCTCACTGATGGCCTCCATGGTTTTAATTACCCTACAAGAACGGATGGAAACTATAAATAAGACCCAGATGGGGCGGATTAGCCGGCACCGCGCAACTAGCTCGGAGGGGGCTGTGGCAAGCCCTGGGCCCTCCTGCCCGCCGCCAAACTTCCAGGCAGCACTAGCCTGGAAGGGGGCCTGAAGAGGGATGGCTCCTTGGGTCAGAGTGGGCCGTCTTGGGAGAGAGGCGTACGTGCCGTCAAGAGGTTACAGAGTGACAGCTTGGCAAATGTCTAGCATGTGTGCATGAGAGGATGTGTTTGGAGGTCGGGGACAATGTGCAGACGTGCAGGGCACAGTGGCACATGTCCTTATTCCCAGCAAGTAGGGAAGCTAAGGCGGGAAGATCAAAAGTTCAAGTCCAGCCTTGGCAATTTAGGAGAGCCTATCTCAAAACATTAAAAAAAAAAAAAAAATAGACAGGACAGTGGGTGTAGAGCAGTGGTAAGGCTCCCTAGGGTTGTTCCCTAGTGCCACCCCATCCCCCACCAAAAAAAGATAAAAGGAGCGTGCAGGCATGTGCCGGTGGACATGGGGGCCTAGTCCAAGCTCTAGAGCAGGTCGGCGTGTGCTGAGACAGGCGGCTGTGTCTTGGCAATGCTCAGGGTGCCTCTGATGTGAAGTCACAGGGGTATGTATTCCGTGGAATGTGTACATCTGGGGCCACCAGGTTAGGACACTGGTATAAATACCAAAGGTTGTATACGGGTCCAGAGGGGCTGCTCAACTGGCCAGATGTGACTGGGCCAGCCTGAGGAAACAGCAGGCTAGGGCGGGGCCTGAGGGTGCCAGCAAAACTGGCATGGCCAGCCCAGTGGGCAGCAAAGCTCACTTCATCTTCAGCTGCTGCATCCGTTCAGTGTCCTCCTGCCCAGTCAGTTCTGGTGTCCCCATCAGCTGCAGCAGAGCCACCTGGAGGGAGAATGGGCAGTGGGGAGGGTGTCACAGAAAGCAGAAACCACTCTGTCCTCCCCTGCTACTTAAAAATAAAGATTAGGTATTAAAGACACAGCAGCCGGGTGCGGTGGCACACGCCTGTAATTCCAGCACCTTGGAGGCTGAGGCAGGAGGATCACGAGTTCAAAGACTGCCTCGGCAAATTAGCGAGGCCCTAAACAACTCAGGGAAACCCTGTCTCTAAATTTAAAAAAAAGGGGGGGGGGGGGGCTGGGGCTCAGTGGTAAGCACCTCTGGGTTCAATCCTGGTACCCCCTCCCCCAAAAAAGCTCAGGGTAGGGCCATGAGGGGCGGAGCTTTGTGTGTGAAGAGTCCGGCGTTTCTCTGGAGTCCGCAATTGAAATGGACGTGGTCATGTGTGGGTGTGGCTTGAGAACAACCTTGAAGTTCAACCAGATTGGTGGTAGGGGTGTGGCGGGCGGGGCATCATAGTCCCAAAAGCAGGGTGGGGGTTATGATCCATGGGTGGGAGTAGGTCGAAAATACTGGGGTGCCGGAGGAGAAATTTCTTGTGCAATATGGGCGTGGCTACACATGGATGTAGCCCTCTCGGCCAGGATTGGCTGCAGGAGAAGTGTAGGCGGGGCCTGAAAATTAGTAGGTAGAGATAGGAACACTGGGATGGGTGTGGCCTGGGAATCCCAGCTCTCCAGGGAAGTAGTTGAGGGTGGGACCTCAGGCAATGAAAAAGCCAGAGCGGAAGCAGTCGTGAGGCAGTGTCCACACTTCTAGGAACTGCGTTTAGGCGGGGCTGGAGTAAAGTGAGCACGTCCTGAACTAAGAACAAAACCTGGAATAAAACTGGGGTTGGGTAAGAGGCAACGGAGAATCAGAATCTCTCGGTGAAGACTTAGGGAGTTTTGAGGTGTGGCAGGAAGGGTGGGGCCTGGGACTCCCAGAAATGAGTGTGGGACAGGGACTGAGGCCCTTCCCTAAGGGGCGGTAATGAGCACATCAGGCCAGTGACAGACACAGCGTAGGTAAGAGGTCGTGGTCTCACCGTGGCCAGGCGCGTCTGCTCCAGCTGTTGCAGGCTGCGCACGTGGCCCGCGAGCAGTGGCTGCGCGCGAGGTCCAGCCAGCTCTGCCTCCACCGCCAGCACCTCCCGCGAGGCGGCAGCGAAGGCCTGGGTCACTTCGTGCACTGTTTTCCGGTAGCCAGGGAAGTCGTAGTGCGGGCCGCTCCGCAGGTACTGGCGGTGGCCTCTGAAGCAGGTGAGGATGCTGAGGTGAGGATGCGCTCCCTGGCCAGGCACCCGCACCAACCCGCAGGGGGCGTACCCGCACCCCAGAGACTGGACGACCGACTGTAAAGACGCTTCTGACTCTAGCAAGGGAAGAGGGGACCGCTCTCCGGGTCCTTAAGAGTTAGTTACGAACTGATTCCTCTTCAGACTCCGTCCCACTTCTAATAGGGCAGCCTCGTGGGGACCCAGCTCTGCCTCCGGACACTCCCGCCACTGACATACCCATACCCGAACTGGGCCCGGGACTGAACCGCGCCCGGCGCGGCCCCACGCCCGCACTCACTCCTCCAGTTTGCGGAAGCCCTGCGCGCGCTCATCCTGCAGCTGGTGGATTCGCTGCACCAGCGTCCGGATCGGGGCATCTTTCTGCGGGGCGTGGGGGGCAAGTTTGGGGCATGAAGCCGGCGCCCTGGACCTGCACCGCCCGCCCCACGCCCGTCCTCGCTCGAGCCGCGACTCACCCAGGGCCACACCGGCTCCGCGAGTGCCCCATCTCCGGTGGCATCCGCAACGTCAAGCACCGCGGGAACGGCGTTCTCCGCTGCGGCCCCAGTAGTGATCATGACGGCGCAGTCGGGGCCACGCCAAGACAGGCCGCTCCACTGTGCCTGGCGCCCCCTGCAGGTCCGGAGGTCAAGGGACTCCGATTCTGCGACGGGCCAGGCCGCAGACAGCAGATCCCATCCTTCATTAGTTCCTGCCTGGCGCCCACCTGGTTTGTCCTTACTGGAATCCGGTACTCTAAATACTGTAAGGATATTAGCTCAGGTTTTTGCATACACCTTTCTTGTCCAATAACATCCGGGCCCACTGAGATGATTTACTGGCAGGTACTGTGTAAGCGTCCAAAAAGTGAGCTGAATTAGGGATCCTATGCAAAGGCCCTGAGGTGGGAGCCTCAGGCAAGAACAGGGATAGCAAAGCATTTTAGGTGCTGAGGTGGTTTTGGAACTTTCCAAGGAGAAATGGGCCAAGTGTGGCAACCCACACCTGGGATCCCACTAACTCTAGAGGCAGACAGGAGTATCACAAATTTGAGGTTAGCCTCAGCGACTTAGTGAGGACTCTGGCTCAAAATAATAGGTCTGGGACTCTGGAGGATGGGCCATTGCAGATGGTGATGACCTAGACCAGGGAGGGGCAGTCAACAAGGTGGCAACTGGACTAGCTGAAGAATGGGGTGACTAATACTGTAGCCCTTAGATGGCATTGCAGGAGAGGGAGTCATTGGCATGTCTGACATAACCTACATTGAGTCCCAATCAAAATTTAGGTAGGCTGTGTGGGTGCAGCTCAGTGGCAAAGCACTTGTCTAGTGCACATGAGGCCCTGTCCACCCCGAGCAAAACCAACCTTGAGGAATGACTGGTCTCACATGTGCTAATAATTTTCACTCAAAACTAAGAAGCATTTACTGTCAGTAAATGGTCTACCTACCTGTCTACTCATCCACACCTGGACACCTCCAAATGTCAACTAGATCCCAGGCAATAACACAGCAGACCTTGGTCCCCACCAGGTCCTAATTTCCATATTAGATGACAAAGCACTCGTTTGGCAGAGCCCTAATTGAAACCTGCTTGTGCTTTTGACAAAACCTGCTGTATGTGCGGGACAGGAACCACCAATTCTTTTAGTCTCCAGAAGGATAAGAGGATCCAAAGGCAACAGAGAGTCAAAGGAGATGGGCCACTCTTCAGCCACCTCCCTGGACAAAACAGTCACATGGACACCAGTTACTGCTCCAGTCAATGTAAGGGAAATTTTATTGAGGTCCCAAGGCCATACATGGGGCTTGGGCAGGAGGCCACTCCTTGGGGAAAGGAGCCAGTGGAGGAGCTTTATTTGACCTTCTTCTTGGGGCGAAGGTTGTTGGTGTGGCCACACTTCTTCTTGCGGCAGTTCACAGCACGGGGGTGCAGGCGGGCATAACACCTGTGTAAGGGATAGGAGCGGCTAATGAGGGCCCACCCTACCCCTTATTCCTGCCACCCCACCCAAGCATCTGAGCACACATACTTGCGACAGATCATCTTGTCACAGTTGTACTTCTGGGCAAGCTGGCGCAGAGAAGGCTCAATGATGCCACCTCGGAGGCGAAGTACCAAGTGCAGGGTGGACTCTGCAGGAGACAGAGGACATCAGCCCAGTCCTAGCACCTCAGTCACTAAGCAAGGCTTTCTGTCACCCGGTAGACTGGTGCTTCTCATATATCTATGTAATGAGAACTCCAAGCAGGATCCCAAGTGGTCTATGTGCAGATGGACACAAAGGGCTGGCCCGACCTGCCCACAGACACTCCATGGAGAATCATCCGGCAACTCTGATGTTTAAACATTATAACTACCACAGTGAAGAGGCATTAAATTTCTTCTTCTTTTTTTAATATTTTTATGTGGTGTTGAGGATGGAACCCAGGGCCTCGTGCATGCCAGGCGAACGCTCTACCTCTGAGCCACAACCCCAGCCCCTTCTTTTTTTTTTAATATTTATTTTTTTAGAAGAAGTTGGACACAATACCTATGTTTAGTTATTTTTTATGTGGTGCTGAGGATGGAACCCAGGGCCTCACACATGCTAGACAAGTGCTCTACCACTGAGCCACAATCCCAGCCCAAGACACTAATTTTCTTTATAATAGTAATAAAAATTTCCTTAATTACTTTTTTTGGGGGTGGGGGTGCTGGGGACAGAATCCAGGGCCTCCTGCACTCCTGTATGCTATCTACCACACAATCCCAGTTCCGGTGCTCAATTTTTCTTTTTTCCCCCCCTTTTTCATTTTTAGTGATGAAATCCAGGAGCACTCTACCACTGAGCTACAACCCTAACCCTCCACCCTTTTCTAACATAATAATTTTGAGATAGGGCTTTTACTTGCCCAGGCTAACTTAGAGCATCAACACTTCTGCCTCAGCCTCTGGAGTACCTGGCACTGTACTGACCCCTCGTCTTAAGAACTGCCTCCCTCTGTAGTGCCACCGAGTCCACTAATGCTCTGTCCAGGGACTGAGGGCTCATGGAGCCTGTTTTCTAGCAGCCCCACCCTAGTACCTTTCTGGATGTTGTAATCTGAGAGAGTGCGGCCATCCTCCAGCTGTTTGCCTGCAAATATCAGACGCTGCTGATCAGGTGGGATACCTGGAAAAAGAAGGAAGCTCAATTACTTAAATTATCCAACACTTTACTTGGGGTCTGTCCAAATCCAGCACCTAGCTCACAGGACAGAGCCCCCACTGACCCAGCCCAACTCACCCTCCTTGTCTTGAATTTTGGCTTTGACATTCTCAATGGTGTCACTGGGCTCGACCTCGAGGGTGATGGTCTTGCCCGTCAGGGTCTTCACAAAGATCTGCATCTCTGCGTCTGCTGGAAGGCAGGATGGAGTGGTGAGCAAAGCAGGCCTGACAGCCCTCCTGTACCTGCACTGACCACAATTTCAGGCCTGTGCCTTGCACTTGTCTTCCATCTACCCTGGCCTTTCTGGGCTTGTCTTCTCACACACTCTGGTTTTTAGCCTAAACCTGTCCTGTACCAAGGGACCAATTCCTCTGCCCTACTCCTGGATGCCATGCCCTCCCCCACAACCCCAGGTACTGGGGATGTTATCCAGGCTTTGCACATGCTGGGAAAGTGCTCTATCACTAAGCTATAACCACAAGCCTGCCAGGAGTGTCCTTCAAGTTGGGCAGAGGAGGTATCCCCTTCAGTGTTTGCTGATATGCATGACAAGTACCCCGAGGCATTCTCTTTGCCAGGCATATCTTCCCTGAGGATGGTGCCATCAACCCCTGTTTCGACAAGTTCCTGGACTGTCCTACAGGTTTCCCTTACTACCTACACGGGAATGCCATCCCAGTAGCCATCTCTCCAACATGCCACACACCACTTCTTCTTTTTCTTAACATAAAGATGAGATGTCCAACACTCTTGGCTTCCTTCTCAGACCTAAATTCCCCAGATCCCACTTACTGCCTTTGCTCCAACCCATAAGCAATAATGAGGAGGACTGCGGATGGAGTTCAGCAGCACATGGCTTGCCTAACAAGTGCGAGGCCCTGGGTTCCATCCCCAGTAGCACCAAAAACACAACAAAAGCTACCACTTATTATCTGCCAAACACGTGCCAGATATGTTTAGATAATCCTTCACTTTAAAAGGAGATTTAGAAAACAGTCTAGAAAATTAACGTCTATTGACGTAGAGTGAGGTACGAGCACCCAACCTGAGAAATCCAATCCTTTCCAAAGGCCCGGCGCACAACACGGCAGCACCACCGCCTACTGCCCCTTCCCTATCCACCCGCGGCCGTCCAGGAGGCTCCATTCCCGCCTCGAGGGATCGCTAGGGCTCCTCCCCGGAGCCGCGTCCGCCTCGGGGAGCCCCGTCCCAGCTGGGTGCCTGGGCTCACGCGCCCGTTCGCCACCCCCGAGGCTGCCCCGCCCGAGCGAGCTCGGGGTCTCCCTCTTCGCCTCCCGAGACCTCGCCCACCGCCCGCAAGCCGCCCCGCGCCAACCAGCACGACCTCGGCCACCGACCCGCTCTGGAGCCTCGTTGAAGAAAAAGAGGGCGGCGGAACCGGAAACCGCCGATTCGCCGCCGAGAGCGCCTGCGCACCGAGCACGCCGCGCGTCTGCGTCACAATCCGCGTCTTGCATCGGGTGCCGCCCCAGGCCCCGCCCCGGCACCATGTCGAGTACTGGCGAACGAAGCCGCGGCGCACGTGGGCCAGCGTCGCTCACCCTCTTCCGAGTGTGGGCGGCGCCCGTCGAGTCACGTGACGATGGTCGCGCCCCTCCAGGTGTTTTAGCGCATGGTCTATGGGTCCCCGACGTTACCTGGCACTTGGCTGATGCTTCGGGAATGCTTGTTGAATAGAGCAGAGGAGAGACTTTTCTGCTAAAGCAAAGGCGTCACGCAGAGAGGGTGCAGGGTGCAGGGGTTGAAATGGAAAATGTAGAAGTCACAGGAGACCCATGGAAGCCACCGTGGACACTCTACACCCGGAACCTGTTGCTGGAAAGCTTTGGCCGCTGTGCACCGACGGACTTGAGGGCAGAGTCTATGGGAGCAGGGAAAGCCGGTGAGACTAGTGCCTTCTCCAGGAAAAGGTAGTAGGGTCTGGCGAAAAGTGTCCGGTGGGACCCTGCGTGTTCTGGACTGGGACCGAAACTTGTGGATGGCACCGGACCAGGGAAAAGGGAGGACTGAGAAGTTACGTGTGAGTTTGTCAACGTGCTTCGTTATTCCTGGGAACATTTCTAGTGTCTACTGCGTGTCACGCAGAGGCAGAGAAGCTTTCATGCCTGGGAAAGTGCCTCTTCTTGGGGACAATGTGTTGTTGTTTGCTGCCCAGATTGATCTCAAACTCGTGGGCTCAAGCCATCCTCCTGCCTCAGCCTCTACCGCACCCAGCAGATTCCTTTAACATAAATTCTAAGAGCTCCGAAGGTGAGGCGACTTTGGGAGAGTCTAACGGGAAATGGGGTCCCGTATGGCTGCCTGAGCACCCCACCCTCACGCACACACACTGCAACCTAAAGGTGTCATTCAAGGGGGAAAGGGAAGTGTTGGTAGCAGTGCCAACAGAAGGTGTGAGGACCTGGGAAGTGCGAACCTGGGTTGTTAGGACTGCCACCACAGGGTCTTCCACGAAGAACAGCCCCATCTTTCTTGTGTGTGTGTGTGTGTGTGTGTGTGTATGGTACTAGGGATTTAACCGGGGAGAGCTCTGCCGCCAGCTACAGCTCCCCCCCCCCCTTTTTAAGACAAATCCTACTAAGTTGCTGAGGCTGGCCTGGAACCTGCGATCCTCTTGCCTCAGCCTTCCAAGTTGCTGGAATTGCAGGCACAGCCACGCAGCCTGGTGGTCAGTCCCATCTCTTTCCAGGTCAGTGGTGTGTGCTTGTCTGCAGGCCCTGACAAAAGGACTCCATGTCCTCCATCCAGCACGTGTCCACTTTCTCAGCTGCTAGACCCAAGGATGGAAAGAAGCCAGGGAGATGTGCTCTTCCCTTTTTAGCAACAGAGTCTTTTTATTGATAACTTCCCAACAGCATCTGTAAACATCGGGTACAAAAATATTCCACTAAACTCTGTTTTCCAAGGTGGCGTGGCTTGCTCCAGGAAACCCAGGAGATGCCTATAGGGCCTCTGAGGTCCACACCTCTGTTCAAACACAGGCCTCACAGGCCCAGGGCTGAGTGGCCATCCAGCCTCCATCTCTAACTTCCTTCTCTGTGTCAGAAACATCCTGGAGACACTAACTGGAGAAAGTACTCAGTACTTCAGTCTGAGGAAGGGGCAGGGAAACCAGAATTAATGGGTGCAGGGTGAGAGGATGATGTGACGATCTTGTCCACCTCCAGGAGGTCCTAGCCAGGGGATAGGGGGCATCTGGCTCTGGTCACCTCTTAACAGTTGTTCAGAGCACACCTGAGGCCTGGCTCTGAAAACATCCCTGTGCCCAGCCTCACCACTCCAGCTGGGATGGCTGTGCCCTGGCATGAGGTTATGTTCCCAGGAGAAGGAGCAGGAAATTGGAGACCCCAGGAATTCCACAGCCCCAGGAGGGAGCCCTGGATGACAGAACAGGGTGGCAAAGGTGAAGATGGTGAGGCGGGGTTACCCACTGCCACCTCAGACACCTGGGGATGGCTACTGGTGCCCAAGACCTCTGGGTGCCTGGAGCAGGACTACTCTCCTGGCCTCCCCTCGTCATCCGTCTGGCTGTGGCCGTTGATAGTGGGAGAGCCAGGCCGCATGTGGGACAGGTCTTCGAAGCCAGGGCTGAGGGAGGGCGAGACAGTATCAGGGCTGGTGTCGCATGAGCCTGTGCTCTGCTCCGAGGTGGCAATGGTGGTGGTGACACTGGGCGGGATGGGGTCCTCGTCTTCATCCTCCAGGAGGGAGGCCTCTGGGATGTCTGGGGAAGGAGGCCCAGGAGTTGCTCTGCTGCCTTCTCAAACACTCAGATGGGGGACTTTGTGTGTGTGACCTGACAGGTTCCCTGCCCCGTGGGTACATGACTTAGCCCATTTTACTGAGGAAGAGGAAGAAACCAAGGCCCAGCAGGTAAGAGGAATCCCTTCCACACGAAGCGATGTTGGGATGCTGCCTCAGCCTCCTAGGTTAGGCTGGGTGAGCTGGCTCTGTCCTTCCTCACCCCCACTACGTCACCTGGCCCAGGCACCCCTCCTGTCCGCCTGCTCTGTAAACTCGGAATTTATGCCCATGGTAGTCGGCAGCTTTGGGATGAAGAGCTAGCTATTGGCCCATTAAGCAGATGGAGTAAACCAAGGCTCAGCAACAGGGAACCCTCTGAGGTGCTGGCGACACAGAATGGTGGCCCAGAGCCACTAGGGCTGTCACTAGACAGATGTGAACTTGATTCCTTCCCCCTCCCTTTTCAGCTGCACTTCCTCCCACAATCGTGCTTCTCTGGGCGACAGTTTCCCCCTCTGAAATCGGGATATTCATAGTCCCCCGTCACAGGTGGTTGTGGGCGGAGTTTGGCTCATGGTACTACATGGGTACACCCCAGGACAAGGAGACTGCATCCCACCAGCACCCTGCCCTTGCCCCCCACCCCCATCTCTCTGGACCCTCCACCCACCAGGGCCTGGGCTGCATGTCAGCCCAAGGCGACCTTCGGGAAGCCAGCTCTGAGTGGAGGAAGCTGGCATGCTCGGGCTCACTAGCCTGGGTAACACTTACGGCTGAAGGCCTCCGGGTGCTGCCTGGCCAGTTTCCCCTTCAGGGTCCTGCAGGGAAGGGAAGGCACAGGGGCTGAACCTGCTGATCAGATGGGCTGGGCCTGGCACTGGCTAGGGAGCCCCTGCTGGGTGGGCAGCAGGAACCTGGCCCTCACCATTCACCAAGCCTCCCTCTCTCTGCCCCACACTCAGCCCAACAAGCCTGGGAACACCTGGGCAGACGTGCACCCTGGGGTGTAGTCCCTGAGCCCAGGCAGAGGGGCCCTCTCCCTGCAGTGCCCCCTTATGTTAGCCTCCTCTACCTTTAGACAAAATGAAGCTTAGAGAATTTTCTTCTTTTTTTAACTGCTGGTTTGGTGGGTGGGTTGGTTTGTTTGGGGGTTGGGGATTGAACCCAGGGCCTTAGTGCACGTGAGGCAAGCCCTCTACCAACTGAGCTATATCCCCAGCCCCTAGCTGGTTCTTCTTTTTCCTAAAGTACTCCAGCTGTGTTTGCAGAGAATGGAAAGGAGGTTCTCAAAGCAGGTGGTTATCTTTGTGGCCTTATAAGTACCACTACTGTTGATGGTTCCAGGCCAGGTGGCAACCCCTCTTCTCCTTCTTGGGTGACGGGGACACGTAGCTGTGGTTATCAACCCTCAAGATCCCTGCTCCCCCCACCCCAAACCATCTGGGCAGTAAACCTGATATGAAGCCTCAGAAAACATGTGCTGTTATAAATTATAAGGAGTCAGGCGCCATCTTAGGCACTGATAGTCCCAGCTACTCAGGAAGCCAAAGCAGGAGGATCACTTGTGTCCAGGAGTTCAAGGTCAGCCTGGGCAACATAGTGAGACCCCGACTCAGAAAAAAAGGAGGGGGACTTAACCAGCCTACCTCATGATTTTGACCTAGAGTCTGCTCAATAAAATGTGTTTTCCAGGGGCTGGGGCTGGAGCTCAGAGGTAGAGCACTGGCCTATCATGCATGAGACACTGGGTTCAATCCTCAGCACCACATAAAAATAAAGAATTAAGATACTGTGTCTACCTATAACTAAAAAATAAATATTAAAAAAAAATGTTTTTCCAGGGCCGGGGTTGTGGCTCAGCAATAGAGTGTTTGCCTAGCATGTGCCAGGCCCTGGGTTCGATCCTCAGCACAACATAAAAAAAAAAATAAATATTTAAAAAACATGTAGAGGGGCTGGGTTTGTGGCTCAGTGGTAGTGTGCTCGCCTAGCATGCATGAGGCACTGGGTTCGATCTTCAGCACCACATAAAAATAAAGACAATAAAGTCCATCAACAACTAAAAAGAAAAAAAGAAAAGAAAATTAAAAGAAATGTGGGGCTGGAGTTACAGCTCAGTGGTACAGCACTTGCCTGGCATGTGTGAGACCCTGGGTTTGATCCTCAGCACCACATACAAACAAAGATGTTGTGTCCGCCAAAAACTAAAAAATAAATATTAAAATTCACTCTCTCTCTCTGTCTCTTTAAAAAAAAAAAAATTCCTTTAAAAAAAAAAGAGTACAACAAAGCCTCTTGAAATGAACTAGCACTAGCAGGAAGACACCCGCCTGTAATCCCATCTACCTGGGAAACTGGAGCCAGAGGGTGGCAAATTAGAGGCCAGCCAGGGCAGTTTACAAGACACAGTGTCAAAACAAGATTAAAAAGGGCTGGGGCTGGCGGTGCACACCAGTAATCCCAGCGGCTCAGGAACCTGAGGCAGAAGGATTGTGAGTTCAAAGATCAACCTCAAAAAAAGCAAGGCACTAAGCAACTCAGTGAGACCCTGTCTCTAAATAAAAAAGGGCTGGGATGTGGCTCAGTGGTTGAGCGCCTCTGGGTTCAATCCTTGGAACCCAAACAAAACAAAAAGAGCTGGGGCTGGGCCCAGTGGCTCATGCCTGTAATCCCAGTGACTCAGGAGGCTGAGGCCAACCTCAGCAACTTAGTGAAGCCCTGTCTCAAA